CCCAGGACGTGCAAGGCAAGCGCCCTACCCATGGTACTACCTCTCTGGCTCCCAAAAGGAACATGTTAATACTATTGTAACCATGTTACCTAAACAATAGTTAAAATCTTTTTTTCTAAGAGAAGATGAGGGGTGGAGAGATAGTCCAGCTGATGAGGCACCGACCCCCTGTCCCAGAGCAGAACCCCCGCCCTACACACTCCTGAGCCCTCACTTTCACTATTCCCCTGAGCTCTCACTGCTGGGCCCAGTGAACTGAGAGGTCTGGAGGGTGGGCCTGGGCTCACCTGTATGCCCTGCATCCTGGGCTTTGCTGAGCACTGGCTGAATGACCCTGGACTTGGCAGAAGGGCTCAGGAGGTACAGGGAGTGTGGGAAAGAGACTCTCCAGGGTGCGGTAAGCAGCAAACCGCCACACACCAGCCTCGTGAAGGCTTTCCCTGTTTCTGTGACCCTTGAGAACAGAGGGAGTGAAACAGCCAGAGGGGGAGAAAGACTCAGGGACCTGCCTGTGCTTGACAAAAAGAAAGGAAGCAGAACCAGGGCTGGGTGTCATCAAAGACAGGCTCACGCTTCTCTCAGTTGCTCCAGTGTGTGCGTGCGTGCATGCGTGCATGTATGTGACTGCTTGCGGGTCACAAACCCTGGGGATAGCATGCAGGAGGCCCATGGGCCCAGCCCGGCTCATCAGCTGCACCATGCACCAACAGGAGCACACAGCTGACAGCTGGTCAGAAACAGACATGCACAAGTGCACACCCCCGATGGGTGTATCCCGAACACCTGTACCCCTATCACCCATAACCACTCCAAAGTCACACAAGCACAGCATGCAGCCTGAATTTACGTTCCACCAGAGCAGCAGCTATGGATATCAACAGGCCCAGCATCCCCAAAACACACTCCCAAAACACACATGCTCAATTGCTCAAATTCCCTCCATCAATGTGGATGGGTTGGCATGTGTGTGCATGGGGCAACCCCCACCCCTCCAGCCCAACCCATTCCCGAGAAGGGCATGCACCCAGAAGAAGCCACAAACATAAAGGTCTCGATAAGGAGAAGAAAGGCAGAGGCATGAAGGAAACACCACTGGGCAGAAGGACATACTCATAGCGAGGTCCAGTAGCACACAAGAGGGGCAGGCAGGTGGTGGGGGAGCAAGAGGGTCAGAGGCAAAGAGGGAGAGACAGAAAGAGGCTGTAAACCCATTCAAAACCAAGGCAGGAGGAAAAAAAAGTAAAACCATATGTCTGACCCTGGTCCCCGACTTCCCCCTGCCCTCCAGGAGGCTGCCAGAAAGATCCATGAGAGGGATTTGAGGAAGATGAACCTGAGGAAGCAGCCCTGGATCCAGAGGCTCAGGCTCAGCTGTGGAGGAAGGAAGGAACCAGGCAGGAAGTTCTTCTCTGACCCTGAACCAGAGACAGGAAGCTGGAGCAGGGGTGTGTGTGTAGAGTAGATCATTCCCACTCCTTCACCCTACAGGAAAGAACAGTGCAGAGGGACTAAGCCCTTAACCCCATTCACTTCACAACCATAAACCCACTGATTCCACCCTTAGAGGCTACCAGTTTAGGGCTGTCCCCGTCAGAGACTCACACCGGGCGGTTACCTGCTCAAGATCACACGGCAAAGAAAGGAAAGATTAGGGTTCCAATCCATGTCTTAATCTTGCTCTGAACTGCGTTCCTGTTATCCAAGAAAGGGACACTGAGGTCCGGCAAGGGGAAAGGATTTTCCCAGGTTCCCCATCAACTCCCGTGGGCCGTCAAGCCCAGGCCCATGTCCTTTAGCCAGCCAGGAGCATGAGGTCACACTTGGAAGCTCCCCTCTAATCATGCACCGGGTCTCCTGTTCCTGGCTCTTCCCCTCCCTCTCCCTGCCCCCCTCCCTCAGCCCAGCCACAGGGCAGGTAAGAACACACAGTCCCCTTCCTGGTGCCAAGCTCATTGAGAAAGAGGCAGACACACACACACACACACACACACACACACACACACACACACACCACCCCACCCCCATTTCTACCTCCCTCCTAGGCCAAGAGGGAGGAGGGAAGGGAGTGGGCCAGTGGCCAGCCCAGGTGCAGGCCACTAGTGGGGATTAGGGCGACTGAGACCTAACTCTAGCTAATCCTCCTTCCCTCCTCTTCCCCATCCAAAACCAACAAACAACTCAACTTGCCTCTCCTGCGCTGTTTTGTTCAGGTCCTTTGTTCCCTGCAAATAGGGCAGCTGGACGCACATACCACATTTGCAACCTGCCAGGCCTGGGGAAGGTCAACCCCTCTGGACACCTGCCCAAGGGTAGAGAGGTCAGATGCTGCCTGGGGGCCCCACTGGGGGCTCTCCTGGACCGACCCAGAGCCAATCCACCTTCCTCCAGGTGCTATTGGTACCAGCCTCAGAGGGTCTCTGGTGCCGCTCTGGTTCCCTCCTGCAGCCAGCCTCAAGCACTGGTTGCCTGGTGCTCCTCTAGAGCCTCTTGGCACATGCGTGGACCCACAATTCTCTTGTGTCATGTCCCTTGCCAACTAATGTCCACCAGGGGCCCAGATCGATGCCCATGTGATGGCCCAAGTTCCCTGGGCCCTGCCAATGGCAGCGGCAGAGCCTGCCCGAATTCTCTGTGTGGTCAAGTCTGATGCCCACACAGCACCCCCTTGCTGCAGGAACCCCCGCTTAGCCCCAGCCTGAGCATGGCCGAGACCAGTCAACAGAGGAGGGGAAAAGGCGCAGGCCCAGCTTCCCCCAGGTAATGCCTGTGTGACTCAGAGTGTGGTTTTCTGGGTTCTGGTCCTTGTCCTTGAAATCAATGTTCCGTGATCCTTTTTTCTTTTTCTTTTTTCTCTTTTATTTTATTTATTTATTGGTTGGGGAACACACCCAACAGTGCTCACGGCTTACTCCTGGCTCTATGCTCAGGGATCTCTCATAGTTGGCTTGGGGAACCCTATGAGTTGTTGGGGACTGAACCCTGTTGGTTGCATGGGAAGCAAGTGCCCTCCCCACTATACTATCACTCTGGCCCCTCCACTTATTTCTAACAGGTTCCTCTGAACTCACTTCCTTCCTGGGGTCCCCTGTGCTGCCCGTTAGCCTTCTAGTCTCATGCTGTGAACCCATTTCTTCACCTGTGGTCCCCTTGAGGTATCCTAAGGGGATATACTAAGAGTCTAGGCTGCAAAATGAGGAAGACAAGGCAGAGGTAGTTAAGGGGCCCATCAGGCAATAATGAAAGAACGACCAGACCACAACCCCCAGCATCCCTTAGGTCCCCAACCCTTTGCACCATATCTCCCAGACTTTGACATTTACCCAGAGTTCTCCAGTCATTGCTCTTTCTCCGCCTGTTAAGAGTACCTCAAAACAGAAGGCACCACCAAGTAAATGATGGTTGAAGGGCTTGCTCGGGATGATAGATGTGTGTTGAAAGTAGACTATGGACCAAACATGATAGCTGCTTAGTACCTATATTGCAAACCATAACACCGAAAAGGAGAGAGTAAGAGGGAATGTGCCTGCCACAGAGGAAGGGGTTCAGAAAGGGTGGGGGTGGTAGGAAGGACACTGGGAACGTTGTTGGTGGAGAATGGGCACTGGTGGAAGGATGGGTACTTGATCATTGTATGACTGAAACGTAATCATGAAAGTTTGTAAGTCTGCAACTGTATCTCATGGTGATTCATTAAAATAAAATTTTTTATAAATAAAATAAATTTTTTAAAAAATTTTAAAAGAGCACCTCAAAACAGCCTTCACACTCAAGCAGGACCTTTTCTCCCCCAGAAAATTCTCTGCCCACAATAGGGGTGAGGGTGGGGGAGGAAACCAAGCCCAGAGAAGAGAAACAGAGGAAGGAAAATAGAGGCATCTCATGTCACACCCACCCTCTGCCATCTGGTCTTAGTATACCTGAGATAAAGCAGAGAATGTGAGAGTGACACTAAGCGCAGCTGTGGAGAGTCCAGCAGGCATTTCCAGAACATCAGTGAGAAGATGGACCTTTCCCATAGAGACACTTGTACTGTTCAGACTATTTTGGGGGTCAGGGGAGTAGGAGTGGGGACTTCTCATTTCCCAAGGCCTGGCCAGCCCGACTAACCAACACCACCCGTGAGTCTTCTCCTTTCAAGGAAAGGAATGGAAAATTCCAGCCAATTCTGGTCCTGGACTTTAGCCCTTTCCCAATCCTAGATGAGCATTTCTATGGTACCCGCTCACTTTGAGGATGTGAAGAGGATTCTGAACCTGCGTCCAAATCAAAAGGAGGTCAAGGGTAAGGGATCAGAGGTCAGCTCTTTAATCCAGCTAGACTGCCCATACATACTATTTCCAAGATCTTCACATCTACCCACTGAGAGCCTCTGGCACCTCAAAACCCTCATTCCCTGGAATATCATCGCTTGAGAATCATTTTTGGATAGGGAGAAGTTGGAGTTCAGAGGTGATCCCGAGGGTGGAACCCTGACACTATCACCACCACAAATGAATGAGCCTGGCCTGCACTCAGTCCACTGAGCATCTCTGCGGCCACTGGTAACTTTCAAACCTACATCTCTTCTCAGACCCCACAAAACACCCCACATCTCCCCAACACAACCTGTCTCGTTCCAACACCTTCAAATCCAGATCTCTGGGTTCTTCTCTCCTGAGACCCCAATCACTCTGGAGTTCCCTCTCACACTGACATACCCCGCAAAATTCAAAATCCTGGCAGGGTTGGGTAGAGGGTGGAACCTGCATGCAAACATTCCAAGATCTTCTATTCTGGGATTCCTCTACAGCTCCCGTGACTCCCCATCCGGCAAGTCCACTGCCATGAAGGCACCCTAAATCCTGCACACTGGCTCTGGCTCCCTCCTCCACCCCTTTGGGCTGGGAGCCAAGAGAGGTGGGTAGGCTGGTGAAAGATGGAGCTGGGAGGTGGAACAGTTATATAACCGGGACAGGCGTCCACTCTGCACGCCCAAAAAGTATAAAGGCATCAGGACCCCACACTGGCCAACCCCTGCTGACCGTTACTCTCAGCGCCACCATGCTGGCCTCAGGGCTGCTCCTGGTGGCCCTGCTGGCCTGCCTGACGATCATGGTGCTGATGTCAGTGTGGCACCAGAGGAAGCTGGCCGGCAAGCTGCCCCCAGGGCCTACCCCTTTACCCTTCATCGGGAACTACCTACAGCTGAACACTGAGCAGATGTACAATTCTCTCATGAAGGTGCAGACCGCGGAGGAATGGGGGGGTGGGGTGGGGTGGGGAGGGCAGGCCAGCTCGGGTCTTAGGATAGGTCAGCTCTGTACTGGGTGGACCTGTTCCCTCTGAGCCCCACCCCGCTCATGCTCCCGTCCACCAGCTCAGGGACCGCTATGGGCCCGTGTTCACCGTGTACCTGGGTGCCCGGCGCGTGGTGGTGCTGTGTGGTCAAGACGCGGTGAAGGAAGCGCTGGTGGACCAGGCGGAGGAGTTCAGCGGCCGAGGAGAGCAGGCCACCTTTGACTGGCTCTTCAAAGGCTATGGTAAGGGGCAGCAGCCAGGAAGACCCCTGAGCCTCAGTTTCCCCCTGGAATCCCCCTCTATTCCAAGTGGCCTCGCCTATGTCCACTGTTCCATCTCTCTCCCTCTCTCTAGAGTTTCTGCTTTGGAACCCGGATCCCTCACTCCCTGTCTCTGTCTTTTTTCTCCTTCCCACCATCTCTGTGCCTGTGTTTGGCCCCCTCTGTGTTAGAACTTGTCCAGCTTAGTCTCTGCTGCCCACCCCTGCCCGCCCCAGCATTTCTCTCACTCCAGTGCCCACTTTGCCCTGTATGCCTCTGTGCGCTGATGTGTGCAGGCCTCTCTCACTGCCAGGCTCCAGCCCAGATCCATCTTCCTGCTACCCTGCCCCCTGCCTCCCACCACCGCACCCTCTGTGCCCCCACACCCAGGCTCTTGCCTCCCCGCAGGTGTGGCCTTCAGCAATGGGGAGCGTGCCAAACAGCTGCGACGCTTCTCCATCACCACACTGCGGGACTTCGGCGTGGGCAAGCGTGGCATTGAGGAACGCATCCAGGAGGAGGCAGGCTTTCTCATCGAAGCCTTCCGCAGTACACGTGGTGAGCTGAGAACAGCAGGGAGAGGAGAGTAGAGAGATGGAAGGCAGAAAAAGAGGGAGAGAAGGAGAGGAGGCGAAGGGAGGGAAGGAAGAAAAGATGGCAGAGAAGAGGGGAGGATGGAGTGGAGGATGGAGGAAGATGAAGGAAGAAGAGAGCAAAGAGGGAAGGCAGACGGAGGAAGTGGAGCTGGTGGGAGAGGAAATAGGGGAAGGACTACTCCATGACTTGGAGGCCAACCACACATATTAGGGAAAAGGGAGCTCAGATAGAGAAGGGAACACCAAATAAAGGTGTTGGGAGGACCCTCCCAGGATGGCAGAAGCATGCTGAAAGTAGACTATAGACCAAACATGATTGCCACTCAATGTTTCTTTTGCAAACCACAACACCCAAAAGGAGAGAGAGAACAGAGGGGAATGCCCTGCCACAGAGTCAGGGTGGGATGGGGGGGATGAGGTTGTGAGGGATACTGGGATGCGTGGTGGTGGGAAGTGGGCACTGGTGGAGGGATGGTATTTGATCATTATATAATTGAAACCCAAGCACAAAAATGTGTAAGTCCGCAACTGTACCTCATGATGTCTCACTATTAAAAAAACTTTTTAATAAAATAAATTTTAAAAAATGAATTTAAAAATAGGGGAAGGAGAAGAGAAGGAGGGGAGGAGGAAAAAAGGGGAAAGAGGACAGAGAGGAGAGAGGAGGAAGAGAAAGGAGAGGTAAAGGAGGGGAGAGAGGGAAGCCATGGAGAGAGAAGGAGCAGAGGGGAAGGGGAGGAGAGAGCAGAGAGTTAAAGGGAGGAAGGGGAGAGCAGGGGAGAGGGAGAAGTAGGAACTCTAAGGAAGAAGAGATGGAGGGAGGTCAAGGAGGGGAAGAAGTGAGGGAGGAGAGGTGAGAGAGGGAGGAGAGTGGAGAAGGGGGAAGATAAAGAGGGAAGGAGGGGAGTAAGGGGAAAGGTGGGGGAGGGCTGGTACTAGAAAGGGTCTAGGTTGGGGTAGCCCTGGGGATCTCCAGCCCTGGGTCTCTGCTCCCCGCCCCCAGGGCCCCCTCTGAGTACTCTGAGCAGCCTCCCATCACCCAGGTGAGACCCCCCCGACACCCCTTCCCTTATCCATCCACAGGTGCATTCATCGATCCCACCTTCTACCTGAGCCGCACTGTCTCCAATGTCATCAGCTCCATTGTCTTTGGGGACCGATTTGACTATGAGGACAAAGAGTTTCTGTCACTCCTGCGCATGATGCTGGGCAGCTTCCAGTTCACAGCCACGTCCACAGGCCAGGTAGCCCAGGGTCCCTGCAAAACCAGCCCACATGGGGTCTGGACACTGGACACTGGTCTCCAGGGACATATAGATGCCCAGATCCCTCCTCCAGATGCCAGAGCAGGGGGAACACTCAATCAACAACTGAGGGGTCTGGACACTGGACACTTGTCTCCAGGGACATATAGATGCCCAGCTCCCTCCTCCAGATGCCAGAGCAGGGGGAACACTCAATCAACAACTGAGGGGTCTGGACACTGGACACTTGTCTCCAGGGACATATAGATGCCCAGCTCCCTCCTCCAGATGCCAGAGCAGGGGGAACACTCAATCAACAACTGACTTCTCATCTGGGCAGGGGCTCTCGGGTGACTTTCCATCTTTCCACATAAATTTCTTTGTTGGGGTTTTTGTATTTTCATTTTTGTTTGTTTGGGGTATTTTTTTTGCTCTGGAGCCACATAGTGGTGCTGAGGGTTTGCTCCATGCTGTACACTCAAGGACCTCTTCTTGGGGGTGGAGATATTGGGGGACCTTATGGGGTGCTGTAAATCAAGCCACAGTCAGCTTCATGCAAGAAATTGCCCAACCCACAGTACTTATTTTCACTCTGGATCCCTCCATTTGAATTTCTTAACATTCTGACAAGTGACTTCTTCATCCCACCTCCTGAGAAACTGAACACCTGGTCCCACAACAGCCTGCCCCACCAAATTATCTGCCGTCTGCACAGTCAAATTCTCTGAATAGGGACTTTCCTACACAGAGGACTTAAATGTCTGAGAGTCTATATAGGTGGATACTGAGACCCGTAAGCATGGACTCACCTGGATGCCAGTTCCCCCAACACCCAAACCAGTCTCACCCAATCCTCCCTTTCAATACCTGTCCCATGGCCTTTATGTGCCCAAGTGAACATATGGACACCGAAACAGGCATGTCCCCCATTATAACTCCTGAACATCAACCCCACTTTAATAACTGTGCCTTTGATCCCCAAAATACCTAGGCAGTTGTCTCCACTTGAGCCCACCTGAACAGGTAACCCTAGACCCAACCTCACTAGAAAATCTGAGCACTTCGACTGAACATCACAGAGCCACTAAGATCTGACTCCCAAATATGTACCCCAATCCTTCTCACCAAAATTCCTAGACTGGGCCCTTGACCTTCACTCAGGTGAAAACACTGGGGTCTTTCCAATCCCATCCCATTAAACACGTAGGGTTGTAGAACTAGTAATGCAGGAAGGGGCTGGTCTTGCACACAGAGGATCCAGGTTCAGTTCCCAGAATCAACTCCTTTCTGCCCTCCTTGGACAGGCCCTACTGCCCTGAGGGTCTGCCTGGTGCTGTTAGCCCAGCCCCCTCAGCCTGCTTTTCTTCCTTCTCTCCATGCAGCTCTATGAGATGTTCTATCCAGTCATGAAGCACCTGCCTGGGCCACAGCAACAAGCCTTTAAGGAACTGCAGGGGCTGGAGGATTTCATAGCCAAGAAGGTGGAACAGAACCAGCGCACCCTAGACCCCAACTCCCCACGGGACTTTATCGACTCCTTCCTAATCCGCATGCGGGAGGTATGGGCCAACCTGGACTGCGAGGAGATGGGGGTGGGGGGGAGCTCCCCACTGACACCTACTCCCATCTTCATCCTCCAATTTTTCCCCATCACCAAACTTGTACCTCAGTTCCAGGGCAAGAAACCTCAGAACAAGCACCCATTGCACCCATGTTCTTGCCCCACGGCAGCACCCACCAGTCTTCACCCCATCGGAACACACAACTGCCCCTGGTTTTGTGTGTGAGAGAGTTCTGTTTGTTTGAAGGCCACACCCAGCAGTGCTCAGGACACACTCCCAGCTCTGTGCACAGGAATTATTCCTGGAGTGCTAGGGTATGTGTGTTTGGGGGAAAGGGTAGTGGAGTTGGGGGAAGGAACCATATGGTGTGCCTGGGATTGAACCTGCATCATTCACATTCAAGACAAGCAAGCTGTACTATCACTCCAGCTCCAAGCCTCTCAGTTCTACATGAGAGGAAGAGGAGAAGCCACTGCTGGAGAAATGAGGCCCGGAAGCGGGGCATCTGGCTCACGTCCTGGTCTCTGACTCCAGCACAATTTGCTCCTGCATCCTGGTGTCTCTGTGCACAACTGACAGCTGTGCTCAGTAGCCCTGGACTGTCAATTTCCATGGGTGAGGACAGGAAAAGAGACTGGTGGAAATGGAAGTTTCAAAGGAGACGATCAGGAAATGATACCACCCATGAGGACAAGATATTGGCACTTCAGAATGTGTCAGGGCTGGAACAATACTGCAGCGAGGAGGGCGCTTGCCTGATATGCAGTGGACCTTGGTTCAATCCCCAGCCCTACCAGAAGGGATCCCTGAGCACACAGCTAGGAATCAGCCCTGAGCCCTGCCAGAGGCCTAAAACAAAAAGACAAAACAGAACTGTGCTAGGAAAATCCTTCTAGGTCTCTCTGAGTCCCTCTGAGTCCTTTTCTCATGCCATCGGGGTCCATGTTGGATCCTCTCTAACATTCTCTCCTGCCCTCTCTTTCTGAACATTCCTACCACAAGGACAACTAAGCTGATAATTTTCACCCCTAAGCTGATAAATTTTCTGGATCCCAGAGAGGGAGCTTGGCAGAGAGGAGACTCTCTCCCAATCTGTATCTGAGACTGGCGGATGCCAGAGCAAAGCCCAAAGGGACTGTAGACCCAGCCTGAAGCTCCCCTCTCCCTGCAGGAGCAGAAGAACCCCAACACTGAGTTCTACATGAAGAACTTGGTGCTGACCACCTTGAACCTCTTCTTCGCGGGCACTGAGACAGTCAGCACCACCATGCGCTATGGCTTCCTGCTGCTCATGAAGCACCCCGATGTGGAGGGTAAGGCTGGAGGAGGCCAGGAAAGGCGCCACATAGACCCTCAAAATCTTCCTGAACCCAAGGGCCTCAGAGACCCTGTAGATAGCCAGCAGAGACACCAGCCGAGTTACAGCCACTGCTCAAAGAGGCTGTGTCCAAACTGATTGATAAATAGCTACTGTGTTGAGCCAACCCGGGCTCCCCCACCTGCCCTTCCCCATAACCTGCCTCCTTGCAGCCTCTGGCATGACCTGGTAAATCAGGGCCCTGAACCAGCAATGCACGTGGCCTACATCTGGCCTTGAACATGGTCGCTGGCTCCATCATACAAAGCTATCATGCATGTCACCTACCACTTCTACCTTCCACTAACCGGACACATTGTCCCCTCTCCCCAGCCAAAGTCCATGAGGAGATCGACCGGGTGATTGGCAAGAACCGCCAGCCCAAGTTTGAGGATCGGGCCAAAATGCCCTATGTGGAGGCCGTGATCCACGAGATCCAGAGATTTGGAGATATGATCCCCATGGGCCTGGCCCGCCGAGTCACCAAGGACACCAAATTTCGTGGCTTCTTCCTCCCCAAGGTGATGTCTGATCCCAGGCTGTGGGACCTCCATACCTGCTCTCTGTGCCCTTGCAGCTCCCCGTCCCTTAGGCAAAGGCATTCTCCAGCCTTTGTCTCATAATCGGAGATGCCCCCTGCCATTCCTTCCCTCAGCCTCCCATTAGGGATACCCAAACATGTATCTCCCCCAGAGCCCTGGCCTCAGGAAACAGAACCGCCAAAGAGAGCCCTCTGTCTCCAAAGAGAGATCCCCATGGACCCCAAACTTCCTGTCTTGGGGGATATTGATCAAATGCCCACTAAAGATCCTTCCTCAAAGAGCCCCCAACACCAAGTGCTTTCAGCACAACAAATCCCTACTCTGAAGCTTTATCTAGCCCCGTCCTCAGGGGCAGGAGAGAGAGCACAGTAGCACAGCAGTAGTACAGCGAGAGAGGCATTTGCCATGCACACGAGCAGCCCAGGTTTGACTCCTGGCATCCCATATGGTCCCCTGAGCACTTCAAGAAGTAGCTCCTGAGCATCATGAACTGTGACCTGAAAAACAAGGCACTTGTCTTGCATATAGCAAACCCTGGTTTGCTCCCCGGCACTGCAGGGCCAAAACTAAAACAAGTGCTCTTTCCCTGTTCCTTCAGGGTACCGAAGTCTTCCCTATGCTGGGCTCCGTGCTGAGGGACCCCAAGTTCTTCGCCAGACCGCGAGATTTCAATCCCCAGCACTTCCTGGATGAGAACGGCCAGTTTAAGAAGAATGATGCCTTTGTGCCCTTCTCCATTGGTGAGAGAACCCTGTCTGCCTCCTGGTCACTTTCCACCACCAACAGGACTGCCTTCGTCCCCACTCCCCTCCCTAAAGTGTAGCCTAAAATCTCTCTCCAACCCATAGACCACAGTTCGCAGCCCTCATTAGCCCCCTGACACGGAAAGGGTGGAGTGTGCCGCTTAGGAGATGAGTGTGAGATTTGTCCAAGGCCACTGGACAGATCCTCCAGACCCCTAGGCAGAAGGCGGCAGTGCAGCCCCCCATTTGGACGTGGTTGTGACTTTCCCACTGCCTCCGTTGCCATATGCCCATCTCAGCCTCAACGGGAACTAAAGTGCTGAAAGCCCTGGACCCCGGCTATTCCGATCCAGCACCCTGGGTAAAGTGGGGGGCATGTGAAGCTTTCCCCAACCACTTTTGCTTCCCTTCCTTAGGAAAGCGCTACTGTTTCGGAGAAGGCCTAGCTAGGATGGAGCTCTTCCTCTTCCTCACCACCATCATGCAGAACTTCCGCTTCAAATCTCCGCAAGCTCCCCAAGACATCGACGTGTCCCCCAAACACGTGGGCTTCGCCACCATTCCACCAACCTACACCATGAGCTTCCAGCCTCGCTGAGCAGGGGTCAGCAGGGGAGAGGAGGGGCTAGTAGGGGGGGCGGGGGAGGAGCTAGCGGGTAGGTGCGGCAAAGAGCAGAGCTATTTGAAGATTGTATGTGGGATGAGGAAAGTGGGAGAATTAGGAGGCAAGAGAACGGCGCTGGGGGCTTGCATAGAGAACAGACTGTTCACCTTTTTAGAGAGAGTCTCGGGATCTGGGAGGAGAGGCGGGGGCGGGAGCCTTAGGGGGCTGCTGTGAAAAGAAACCGCAATACCAGATATGAGGCATTGCGGCCCGGAACTCGGTGTTGTTAACCCCATGCTGAAAGCATTACACACTCTTACTGCTCACAAACCTTGAAGATGAGAAGTATTCATGCGCATGTGCATTTCTCCGCTGGGGCTCAGAACGCCCTGAGTCAATAGCTGTGGTTCCAGGCCTTACAAGCAAGACTGGGTAAGCATGCGCATGCAAAGGGAAGCAGGTCCTGCAGATGGTTTACAGAACTCCTCTCCCTCAAGTGGAAAACCAATCTAGTGTATTGTTGAGCAATGCAAGTAGCTCTGTCCAGGGTGTTTTCATGCTAACCTTCCTTCACTACAATGCATTCACACCCACCACCATCACCCAAATACTGCTACTGGGTCCAATGTGGGCAGGATCAGGGATGGGAATCAGACTGTCGGTGAGGGACAAAAACACTTTCTGGCTTCCCGTGCAGCTGAGCCCTTCTGTGTGTGCATGTGCATGTTTGTGTGTGTGTGTGTGTTGTGTGCGTGCATGTGCACGCACATACACACAGGTGGGTAACTACAACTTTCTCCTGAGTAGATGCAAGGACTCATTTTGCTGAGGGTTTCTGCAGGGAGGGCTCTCTCTGATGCATCTGGGATCTGCTCTCGCAGACTGGGAACCACCTGCTTACTCAAAAATCAGTGATTACATGTTCACTCAGAAGAAAAGTAGGTAGTGCTCTTGCCTAACACCCAGGGTTGATCCCAGGCATCCCAGTGTTCTCCCGAGTGCAACCAGGATCAATTTCTGAATGCAGAGCCAGAAGTAACGCCTGAGCATTTCTGAGTGTGACCCAAAAATTTCAAAAAGGAAAAATTTTCATCCTTTGAGAGTGCACAAATACATCCATCCCCCATAGAGCACAGTGCTTCTCAGTCAAGTGCAGTGTAAACCCTGCCCCAAAGTTTTCAAAGCACCACAAGATTTAAATAAAGTGGGGGTTTGGAGGGGGAGGGGTAAGACATGGTCCTCCAGACCTTGCAAGTTTCTTACCTCTATGATTCATAAGTAACTTCATTTCCTCTGCTGTGTGTTTTTGCATCTGGGGTTTCATGAATGGATGACTTCTTGCTTAATGAAGGGGAGGATGTTAATCTATCAGATCACAGCCTATAGCACTATTTAACGCCCAAGTTGAGAATCAAACTCATTTCTGAGTGTGCATGTGCCCTTAAGAACCTTCTAGGACCCCAGAGTGTGCAGCAGGTAAGATGCTTACCTTGTGTGCCCTCCCAGGTTGTATCCCTGGCACTGTGTACTGTTCCCCAACCTCACCGGGAATGATCCCTGAGCACAGAGCCAGGAATAAGCCTTAAGCACAGCCAGCTGTGACCACCCCATTCCCCCCAAAAAGAGTCTTGGAAACACCACTGCCAGAATCTTTCTCAGAATTTGAGCACGAGAAGTTCTCCTTCTCCCTGTCAGGGCAAATGTGAGTTCTCCCAGTTCAATACGTTTGAGAAAGAGTCAAGAGTCAAGAGAAGAAAGGAGGGACTCGAGGTAGTGGGGGTCGCCTCTCAGGGATCATGAACATAGTTAACTTGCTGGGTCTTTGACCCACACAGAGGAGGAGACAAATATTAATTTCAGTAATCCTCAAGCTGGTGCTTGGAAAGGACGAAGCAGCAAAGCTCCAATAAGGCATTCTGAAGGGTGCAGAGAGAGAGCGAGTTCTAGCCACCAAAGGCTGGATTCATGTCCAGACAGGCTTCTTTCAGCCTTGGGGCTTGGGATAGCCAACGACCAAAACTGCAAGAAGACAACACTGGGTACATAATCAAGCCTGGATTCCTATCCTGGCTCTGCTACAGACCCCTTGGGCCTTTGTGAGCCTCCCCAGAGCTGAAAAACTTTAAAAACTGAGTGACTTGGCTGGAGAAATAGGACAGGAGGGAAGGTGCTTGCCTTGAATGTGGCTGTTACTGGTGCTACCCTAGTTTAGATCCCCAGAGCCATGCGTGGTCTCCTAAACACAAACAGGGTGACTCAACAGGGGAGAGCACAGAGGCAGGAGTATGTTGGAGCACCTTCAGGAATGGCCCAACCTCCTCTTCTCCTCCACTATACACCTCCCCCACACCCTAAAAAATATTCTCGTTGATAACAGGTATGGGAGGTAGAATGAAGTACCGTCTCTGGTTCATTTATTTCTACAGCTAAACCAAGAGATTCTAGAGCATGTCAAACACACGTGTACACATACAGACATGCTTGTGCACACATGTACATGAACACACACCTGCCTTGGCCCCAACAACTGCAGGTGGCTCACAGCACGTACCAGGCTCTGTGCTGAGCCCTTTGCATGCATTTTCTAATGGCTGCACCAACCCCATGCCATCAGCTAGGCACCATAAAATGATAGAAAAGCATTCGGGGAGGCCCAGAGTGATAGCACAATAGGGAGAGCATTTGCCTTGCATGTGACCAACCCAGGTTCAATCCCCAGCATCCCATATGATCCCCCGGGACCATATTATTACCATATTATTACCACCAGGAGTAATTCCTGAATGCAAAGCTAGGAGTAACTCCTGACTTGCCAAGTGTGGCCCAAGAAGTCAGAAAAGGAGCCAGAATGATGTACAGTGGGTAGGGTGTCTCAGCCAACCAAGGCTCAAACCCAGCATCCTATACTGTCCCCTGAGTACCACCAGGATTAATTCCTGAATGCAGAGCCAGAGTAACTCCTGACCATGGCCAGGTATGACTCCACTCCCCCAAAAAAGATAAAACAAAAAGCAAAAAAGGTTAAAAGAAAGAAAAGAAAAGAAAAGAAAATCATTGTTTCACAGTTCTGAAGGCTGCAAGTCCACAAGCCAAGAGGTTGGCAGCAGGACTGAGAGGGACTCCAGGAGTTAAGATGCTTCTTTTGACTGTGGCTAACTCCCCCAGTCCCTGAAAACTGACAGGAACAGCACAAGCAGCCAGATGCCGCCCCAAAACCCAGCCCACCCACACAAACACACTAAATAAAATAGATATCAGCAGGATTTTGCTTCCTCTGAAAGCTGTAGGGAAATCTTCCCCCACCGTCCTTAGAGCTCTTGGTTTGCTGGCCCTCAGGTGGCCCTATAATGCTGCCTTGGTGATCACCTCTCCCTGTGTGCCTATTTTCACATGTCTTAATGTCTTCTTAAAAGGACAGTGGTCAGGGTGCTTGACGTGAAATGTAGGAGATTGGGTTCAATCCCCAGCCCTCCTCTGAGCACCACCAGGAATGAGCACAGTCAGGAGTTAGCCCTGAGCACTGCTGGGTGTGGCTCCAAAACGAAAAGATTGTCATAGAGTTGTCATAGAGCATAAGTGACTCTTATGGGTTAAGGCCTCAATGTAACTTTTTGCAAAGGAGAAACACAATTGAGCACACACACATACATACACACACACACACACACACACACAGAAAGACTTTGATGGGTGGACCCCATAATTCATGGTCTGAGGGGTGCCCTTTATGAGCCTATGTCACAGATGAGAGTGAGGGAAGGAACCCTACAGGTATCAGGCCACAACAAAGGCACCCTGTGGGGGGAGAACCATAGGTGCCTCTCTCCGTGGCTTAGACAGGACCCAGATGGAGTTCCTGTCCCCAGGGGCACTCGGGAGCATGGAAGAGAGATGACTTGCGGGAGTACTTTGGCAGAAGGAAATAGAAGGATGAGAGTTCAGAAGTCACCTTTCCCTGAGTCCAGCCCATCATCATCCAGGTGTGGCTGCCCCAGCCTGCAGCAACCCTGGCACACCTGCTGGACATCGGTCATTTTTATCCTCTTTTGTTTTTTTTTTCATTTCTTTTTTTTTTATGATGATGATGATGATTAAATTAACCCATGGGAGTTGATTTAATGATATACTAGAGGGTAATGTATGCAGGTGGGTTGGCAGGAGTGGAGGGAGGGGTGTTTGCTGTTGTTTGGGGCCTGGAGGTGCTAGAGCTTATCCCTGGTTCTGTGCTCATGGTTCACTCCTGATGGGCTGAGGGATTGGCATGTCAAAGATTGAAACCAGGTCAGCATGTGCAAGGCAAATGAATACCCTCTGTGCCATCACTCCAGCCCCTATGGCTTGCGTTTTAAAGTGCAAAGTGCCTACGGGATGAATTCCAGATTCCCCTACTCGACTCCAAATGTTTGTCTTTTTGTTTGCAGGAGGTGGGATGCCACACTAGGGGTGCTCAGGGCTTACTCCTGTCTGTGTGCTCAGGGAACACTCCTGGAGGGACTCCAGGGACCATATAGAGGCCTGGGGATCAAACCCAGGTCAGCCATGTGCAAGGCAGACACCCAACCCACAGTACTAGCACCCAAATCCTTTTCTGGCCTGGACACTGCCCTTGTCTCCTGGCCTGGTTTCTCCCCACCCGGCACCAGAGAGATCCTCTTTCCCAGGCTCACTGGGCTTCCACCACTTCACGGACTGCTGCATCTACTGCCACACCTTCTCACCAACCATTTCCTCTGCCTGGGATTCTTTTTTTTTTTTTAATGTAGGAGTACTGCTATTTATTCAGCCACTGATTAGCTGATTGAATTGGGCATGAACTCCACCTTGCTTTTTTTTCATAATTTTATTTATTTTTCTTCTTATATTTATTTATTAAATCACTGTGGGAAAAGTTACTAAGCTTTCAGGTTTAAGTCTCGGTCATACAATGATCAAACATCTCTCCCTTCACCAGTACTCATTTTCCACCACCAACAACCCCAATATACCCCCCTCTCACTCCTTCCAATGCCTGTGAGGCAGATAATTTCCACTTAACTCTTCTCTACATTGATTAAATTCATAATTTCAACAAAAGATGCACCATTATTGTTTAGAATTTCCCTCCCCACAACAATCAGACTTGCTAAAAAGGCATTGTGAAATACTTTGTTTCTATAGCTGGTTATGAGAATCATATAATCTTGCATGGCCGCAATAGTGGCCCCGTGATTTTGGATTTCTGCAAAGAGCCAGATAATTACGAGATTGGTTTCTGTGCGTCTGGTGTTATGGCTATGCCAGAGAGCCACTGGTGGGGGGCAACTCATGACCTCGGTAGGGCGTGAAGGACGAGCCAGTACCATCCCCCTTCCCATGAGACTGCAGTTGCCCTGTCACCGACAGCTCATACCTGGCTTTCCTATAATCTCTGAGGCGGCAGCCACCTTGCTGCTGGGCTGGGGGGGGCGGCGGGGGAGGAGGAATGTGGAAGGGAGCAACACCCTTTCCCTCCCGGGGAGGCATGGCGCTGTGGTTTAGTGCATGGTCCATTCACTTTTCTGCCGCAAGCTGCTGGGCTCTGAACTAAGTCCTTTTGCCTCTGGAGCCATGCCTGGGGTTCTTTCCCTGCTATTGCTCAGGTAATATTGACAGATTAAGTTCTGTACAAACAAACAAAACAATGGGGCTGGAGCAACAGGATGGTGCAGAAGGTATTTGCCCTGCAATTGGCTGACCTGGTTTTGACCCCTGGCATCCCATATGGTCCCCCAAGCCCCACCAGCTTTTGTTCCTGGTCGCAGAACCCTGACCACTGCCAGCCCTGACCACACCAAAGAAATATGCATCAAGCAAAACAGGAGGGAAAGTGTCTCTTGTCTTTCTTTCTAGCAGGATCCCATTTTCCCTATTAGAATCCAGCAGGATCCAGCAAGAAATTGGGGGATGGGGGGGTGTGACAAAAACCTGGTTTGGAGGATTCTCCAAAACCGAGAACAGAAGGGTGACTGGGAAATGTAATATACAAACAGGACATGGTGGCTACTCAATTTCCTGGTATAGAATCTCCTCTAGAAAAACAGAGAAGGGTCCAATAATCTTCAAAATAAACCAGGCTCCTGCAAAAGATAATGCCTGCTACATCCCTCAGGACTCTAAATGCCAAGATGAAGTGAAGTATCAGTAAATCCAGACATCGATGAGCAGAAGTGTGGAAAGAGTGAGGCTAAGGTTTAGAAAAGAAGCCCAGCTGGACACATCGAAATAAATTCAGGTTGCCAAAGAACAAATGAAGTTAGGTGAGCAAAGGCTCATTGGTCTTTTCAGCCAGTGATGCTGAACAACTAAATAAACGAGTGCCAACTCTCAGTTGTTGGACATTAACCCCAAGTGTTTTAGACTTCATCAATGAATTGCTCCCTTTTCCTCCTCCCAGCAAAGCTGACGGTGCTCTTGTGAGCATCCCGAATCCACTGAGTTTCTTTTTAACCTTTCTTTGTGTTTTACACCTCATTGTCACAGTTCCCCAAGTGAATCTTGGTTACTTATAAGACAAAACTTTCTGGTAATTCTGGACGTTGTATTTGTAGTGAGTTACTTGCTTTGCTATTTCCCCTATAGCCTTTTCATATTTTGCTATATCCTGATTAAGATGTCCACCGATTGGAATATTAAACACCTATGACAAATTCTCATGAACAAATTTGCAGACCATAGTGTTTTATTTTGTTGATTATTTTAATATTTGTATATCTAATTTTTTAATAATTCGATCACTGTGATATACACAATTACAAAGTTGTTCATATTGGGTTTCAGTCTTATAGTGTTCCAACACTGTTTCCTTTACCAGTGTACATTTCCCACCATCAATATCCCCAGTTTCCCTCCCCCAGACCCCTTAACCTGCCTCTTGGCATTCACCTGTCTCTCTCTCTTTCTCTCTCTGTCTCTCTCCCACTTCTTCCTTCCCCTGTTGGGCACTGTGGTTTGCAAGGTTATCACGGGTACTGAAAGGTTATCATGTGTATATATCCCTTTATCTCCTTTCAGCACTCAGTTCTTGTCCAGAGTGATCATTTCCAACAATTATTGCTAGAGAAATCACAGCATTTACTGTTTACATGAAGTATAGGGGGGAATATTGACATAAGGTGGTCTTACCTATTTCATGTGACTCCAAAATATATTAGCACAGAATGTCTTTAAAAGTTTATTAATGACAGGTAAGGTATGATTTTTATCATAAAGAGATTCAAATATAAAGTAAAATTGAATATAATATAATTTTTAGATTCCAGAGTTGAAAACTTACTTATGTGAAAGAGAATAAGCATTTTATTATATTGTATTAAAGGGTTTTATTTTTCATATCCCGCCCGCACGGCAGAGCCTGGCAAGCTCCCAGTGGCATATTCGATATGCCAAAAACAGTAACAAGTATCATAATGGAGATGTTACTGGTGTCCACTCGAGCAAATCAATGACCAATCATACCTTTTCTTTCAACAACTACTCATCATTTTCCTCCATTTCTGAACTCAACATCCCATGATACTTCCTTATGTTTAATGGCAGTGATTTCAATTTTCTTTTTTTTTTTAGTTTAATATAGCTCTAATCCTCTTTAGGTTTCCTTGTTATTGGGTTTGAGCCTTCCAAATATCTTTTATGCTAATATATGTAATGTTTCATCTATGCTGTTTTCTATGTGCTATATTATTTCTGTCTTAAATTTAGTTATTTAATCTATTTGAAAGAAAGTCTGGTGTGTTTTATTTTCATCTCCAAGTGGAGTTTATTTCAGGGAAACTATATAATACATTATATAACAATAAAATGAAAAATCATCATCATCATGATATCAGTAGATGCTGAGAAAGCATTTGAAATATTTCACATTCATTTATAATCAGAATTAAATGGGGAGGGGCCAAAACAATAGTTCAGCAGCTAGGGGGTTTGCCTTACACACAGCAAACCTTGGTCCAATCCCTGGCATCCTATATGGTTCCGCAAGCGACACCAGGACTAATTTCTGAGTGCAGAGTCAGGAGCAACCCTTGAGCATCGCAAAAGCTGAAAAACAAAGAAGAAGAAGAATTAAATGGGGGAAGAAGGAACTTTCGTAAAAAGTTTTATTAGTAACAGGTAAGGTATGATTATTAACATAATGAGATCCAAGTAAAAAATACAATTAAATGAATATAAAAAATCATTGAGCATATTAGATATAAGTTTGGATACGTGCCTTTAATTGTCTTTAATCTGGACTAGATTCTCAGCTTTTATATTCTTTGACCTTCACATTTTGGAATTTCATATTTTATATTGCAGTAAATGGTGGTTTTGTAAATCCAGACCTTAATTCGCTTGACTTTTTTTATGCATTTGGGGAGGGGTGGGGAACACACTCAGCAGTGCTCAGGGCTTACTCCTGGCTCTGCTCAGGGATCACTCTTGGTGGGCTAGGGGGACCCTATGGGTTCTTGGAGATCGAACCCAGTCTGCAATGTGTGAGGCAAGTGCCCTCCCCCCTATATTATCACTCCGGCCCCTCCACCTATTTCTGACAGGTTCCCCTGACCTCGCTTCCTTCCTGGGGTCTTCTCTGCTGCCAGTTAGCCTTTTAATCTCGTGCTGTGAATCCATTTCTTCACCTGTGGTCCACTTGAGATATCCTAAGGGGATATCCTAAGGGTCTAGGCTGCAAAGTGAGGAAGATGAGGCAGAGGTGGTTAAGGGGCCCTCAAACATTGATGAAGGGACAACTAGACCAACCCCACCCCCAGCATCTCCTCAGGACCCACCCTTTGCACCATCTCTCCCAGACTTTGACATTTACCTAGAGCTCTCCTGCCATTGTTCCTTCTCCCCCTGCTAAGAGCACCCCAAAACAGCCTTCACACTCAAGCAGAATCTTTTCTCCCCCGGAAAATTCCCTGTCCAGAAAAGAGATGCACCCACCCTCGGCCATCTGGCCTTAGTATACCTGGGATAAACAGAGAATGTTAGAGTAACATGAAGTGCAGTTGTGGAGAGTCCATCCAGCTGTATTCTGGACAATGGCCGTGGGAAACAGGGCCTCTCTGGTAGAGATGCTGGCACCATTCAAAGCTGTTTTGGGTTCAGAGGAGTAGGGGTGGGGGCTTCTCATTTCTCAAGACCTGGCCAGCTCAACTAGACTGACACCATCTGTGAGTCTTCTCCTGTCAGGGAAAGGAATGGAAAATTCCAGGCAATTCTGGTCCTGGACTTTAGCCCTTTCCCAATCCTAAATAAGCATTTCTTCTTTTTTTTTCTTCTTTTGGGGGTCACACCCACCAATGCATAGCGGTTACTCCTGGCTCATGCACTCAGGAATTACTCCAGGCAGTGCTCTGAGGACCATATGGGATGCTGGGAATCAGAGCTGGGTCAGCCACATGCAAGGAAAACGCCCTACCCACTGTGCTATCACTCCAGCCCCCTAGATGAGTATTTCTATGGGACTGGCTCACTTTGAGGATGTGATGAGGATTCTGGACCCAAGTCCAAATCAAAAGGAGATCAAGAGTTTGATCCAGAGGTTTGGTCAGAGGTTGATCCAGCTAGACTCCCCATATATACCACTTCCAAGAGTCCCACATCTACCCACCTGAGAACCTCTGGCACCTCAAAACCCTCATTCCCTAGAATCTCCCCTCTTGAAAACCATATTTTGGGGAAGTTGAAGGTTAGAGGCAGTCCCAAGGGGGAAATCCTGACACCCTCCCCCCCAAAAAATGAGCAAGCCTGGCATTCACTCAGTTCACTGAACTATCTCTCTGGCCTCAGGTGACCTTCATCACAAATCCACATCACTTCTCATGCCCACAAAACACATCTCCCCAACACAACCTGTCTCATTCCAACACCCTCAAATCCAGATCTTTGGGTTCTTCTCTCCTGAGTCTCCAATCATTATGGAGTCCCCTCTCACACTGACATACCCCACAAAATCCAAAATCCCAATGGGGAGAAAGGTGGTGGTACCTCCTACAAACATTCCAAGATCTTCAATTCTGGGATTTCTCTACAGCCCTGGTCGCCCACATTCCCACAAGTACACTGCTGTGAAGTGGCCCCTGGATCCTGCAGGTCACACCCTGCAAACTGGCCCTGGCTCCCTCCTCCACCCCTTTGGGCTGGGAGCCAAGAGAGGTGGGGAGAATGGTGAGGGATGGTGTTGGGAGGTGGAACAAAAGTTACATAACCAGGACAGGCGTCCACTCTGCACGCCCAAGTAGTATAAAGGCATTGGTCCCGGCGCCAGTCAGCCCCCACTGGCCGTTACTCTCAGAGCCACCATGCTGGCCTCCGGGCTGCTCCTGGTGGCCCTGCTGGCCTGCCTGACGGTCATGGTGCTGATGTCAGTGTGGCAACAGAGGAAGCTGGCAGGGAAACTGCCCCCTGGGCCCACCCCATTACCCTTCATCGGGAACTACCTACAGCTGAACACCGAGCAGATGTACAATTCTTTCATGAAGGTGCAGACCTCAGGAGAATGAGGGGGCTGGGAGAGGGCAGGCCAGCTGGGACATGGGGGCTCAGGATAGGTCAGCTCTTGTGCTGGGCGGGCCTGCTCCCTCTGAGCCCCCCTCTCCCCATGCTCCCATCCACCAGCTCAGGGACCGCTATGGGCCCGTGTTCACCGTGTACCTGGGCGCCCGGCGCGTGGTGGTGCTGTGTGGCCACGACGCGGTGAAGGAGGCCCTGGTGGACCAGGCGGAGGAATTCAGCGGCCGAGGAGAGCAGGCCACCTTCGACTGGCTCTTTAAAGGCTATGGTAAGGGGCAGCGACCAGTAAGATCCTTGAGCCTCAGTTTCCCCAGGATTCCCCTCTATTCCTGGTGACTTCACCCATGTCCCCTGTTCCTATCTCTGTCTCTGTCTCTGTCTCTGTCTCTGTCTTTGTCTCTCTCTGTCTTTGTCTCTCTCTGTCTTTGTCTCTCTCTCTCTCTCTCTCTCTCTCTCTCTCTCTCTCTCTCTCTCTGGAGTTTCTGCTTGGAACCCGGATCTCCCAGCTCCCTGACTCTTTCTGTCTTTTTCCTCTTTCCCAGCTTCTCTGCGTCTGTGTCTGGCCCCCTCTGTGTTTGAACTCGTCCTGCTGAGTCTCTGCTGCTAGCCCCTGCCCGCCTCTGCCCGCCCCAGCATTTTTCTCGCTCCTGCGTTTGCCCTGTGCCCCGTGCGCCTCTGTGCGTCTGCCCCACTTCTGGCTGGGCTCCAGCCCAGATCAACCTCCCCACCACGCCGGCCCCGCGCCCCCCGCACCTCACCCCGACGAGGTTCGCGCCTCTCCGCAGGCGTGGTCTTCAGCAGTGGCGAGCGCGCTAAGCAGCTGAGGCGCTTCTCCATCACCACGCTGAGGGACTTCGGTGTGGGCAAGCGCGGCATAGAGGAGCGCATCCAGGAGGAGGCAGGCTTTCTCATCGAAGCCTTCAGAGGCACTCACGGTGAGCCAAGGGGAGAGCGTGGGGAGAGGAAAGGAGAGAAGGAGTGGAAGCAAGAATAAGGGGAGAGAAGAAGAGGAGGGGGCGGGGGAAGGGGAGAAGAGGAGGGAGGAGGAAGATGGAGAAGGAAGAGGTCAAAGAGGGAAGAAGGGGGGGAGGATGTGGAGCTGGAGGAAATGGGAGAGGAGGGGGGAGAGAAAGAGAGAAGAAAGGGCAGAAGGAGAAAGGGAGAAGAGGAGGGAGAGGAGAGGGGAAGGAGGAGGAAGAGGAGAAAGAGAAGGAGAATAGAGGGATGGGGAGGAGGGAGAAGGGATAGGTGACAGAGGGGATAGAGGAAAGGGGAGGAGGAGGAGGAAGAAGAGGTAGAGGAGGAGAGAGAAGGGGAGAAGGAGAGAGAAAAAAGAAGTAGAGGGTGGGGAATGGGCACTGATGGAGGGATGGGTATTCAATCATTGTATAACTGAAATCCAAGCACAGAAATGTGTAAGTCTAAAACTGTACCTCATGGTGTTTCACTAATAAAAATTTTTAAAAAAAGAAGTAGAGGGGAAGGGGAGGAGAAAGGAGGGGGTTAAAGGAGGGGGAGAGCAGGGGAGAGGGAGAAGTAGGGACTCTAAGGAAGAAGAGATGGAGGGAATGGGGGAGAGGCCAAGAAGGGGAAGAAGGTGAGGGAGGAAGAGTGGGATAGGGAAGAAGAGAAAGAGGGGAGGAGGGGAGGAAGTGGAGGGGTGGGAGAGGCTGACCATTAGAAGGAGTCTAGGTTGGGGTAGCCCTGGGGGCTTCCAGCCCTGGGTCTCTGCTCCTCCCCCAGGGCCCCCTCTGAGTCCTCTGAGCAGCCTCCCATCTCCCAGGTGACACCCCCCCAACACCCCTTCCTTTATCCATCCACAGGTGCATTCATTGATCCCACCTTCTACCTGAGCCGCACTGTCTCCAATGTCATCAGCTCCATTGTCTTTGGGGACCGATTTGACTATGAGGACAAAGAGTTTCTGTCACTCCTGCGCATGATGCTGGGCAGCTTCCAGTTCACAGCCACGTCCACAGGCCAGGTAGCCCAGGGTCTCCGCAAAACCAGCCCACATGGGGTCTGGACACTGGACACTGGTCTCCAGGGTCCTGTAGATGCCCAGCTCCTTCCCCCAGATGCCAGGGCAGGGGAGACACTCAATCAACAACTGAGTTCTCACTGGGCAGGTGCTCCGGGCCGACTTTCTATCTTTCCACATGAATTTTGTTCTGTTTTGTTTTGCTCTGGAACCACATAGTGATGCTGAGGGCTTCCTCCAGGCTCTGCAACAGGGATCACTTGGGGAGGGCAGTGCCGGGGGACCATATGGGGTGCCAGAGATCCTAGTCAATAAGCCTTGTGCAAGGCAAATGCCCAACCCACTGAACTTACTATCACTCTAGCCCTTTCATTTGAACTTTTTTTTTCTTTTTGGGTTGATGCTCAGGGGTTTCTCCTGGCTCTGCACTCAGTAATTAGTCCTGGCATTGATTGAGGGGCCATATGGGATGCCAGGGATCAAACCCAGGTCAGGTGCATGCAAGGCAAACACTCTTTTCTTTGGACTGTTGGACTATCACTCCAGCCCCTCCGCCTGAATTTCTTAATTATGACAAGTGACCCCATCAGCCTACCTTTTGAGAACCTGAATGCCTGGTCTCACAACATCCTCTCCACCTAAATTACCTGCCATCTACACAGCCAAACTCGCTAGATAGGGGCTTTCCTAGGCAATGGTCTTAAATGTCTGAGTCTATTTGGGTGGATACCAAGACCCTTAAGCATGGAATCACCTAGATGCAGTTCCCCGAACACCTAAACCAGTCTCACCCAATCCAGCCCCTTCAATACCTGTCCTATGCCCTCTATGTCCCCAAGTGAATAACTGGACACCTGAACAGGCATGTCCTCCATTATAAAACATAGACAACCGCCCCATTTTAATAACTGTGCCCTTGATCCCAAAATACATAGGCAGTTGTCTCCACCTGAGCCCACCTGAACAGTTGTCTCTCAACCCAACCTCACTTGAAAATCCGAGAACTTCCATGAGCAAACAGAACCACTAAGATCCAACACCCCAATCTTTCTCACTAAAATTTCTGGACTGGGTCCTCGACCTTCACGCAGGTGAAAACATTGGGGTATTGCGAATCCCATCCCACCTAAATACTTAACACTTGGGGCTGTAGATCTAGTACTGCAGAGAGGGCTGATCTTGCACACAGAGGACTCAGGTTCAATCCCCAGAATCCCAAATGGTCCCTGGTACCCCGCCAGGGATTGAGAACAGACCCAGGAGTTAGGCCTGAGCACAGTCAGATATGAACTAATGACAAAAGAAAAAATATGTATATATAATCAATTTATGGGGCCAGAGAAATAGTAAAGGAGGTAAGGTGCTTGCCTTGTACATCAGCCCACAAATCAAATCAATGATGAATTTTTTGTGGCCCCAAAATTAATCCACCAATAAATAACCTAACCCCTCTTTCTGTCCCCCTCAGACAGACCCCACTTCCCTGTGGTCTGCCTGGTTCTGTCAGCCTCCCTCAGCCTGCCTTCCCTCCTTCCCTCCATGCAGCTCTATGAGATGTTCTACCCAGTCATGAAGCACCTGCCTGGACCACAGCAACAAGCCTTTAAGGAACTGAAGGGGCTGGAGGATTTCATAGCCAAGAAGGTGGAACAGAACCAGCGCACCCTGGACCCCAATTCCCCACGGGACTTTATTGACTCCTTCCTCATTCGCATGCGGGAGGTATGGCCCAACTGGCCTGCAGGGAGATGGGGGTGGGGGGAAGCTCCCCACTGTCATCTACTCCAACCTCCGTTCCCCAATCTCGCCCCATCATCACGCTTGTACCTCAGTTCCAGGGCAAGAAACCTCAGGGCAAGCACCCCTTACACCCATGTTCTTGCCCCACAGCAGCACATGCCAGTTTTCACCCCATCAGCATGCACAACCAACCCTGTGTGAGAGAATTCTGTTTGTTTGAAGGCAACACATTCAGCAATGCTCAGGGTTTAATCCCGGCTCTGTGCTCAGCAGTCACTCCTGGCGTGCTCAGGGAGCCCAGGATCAAACCATCCACTGTACTCTCTCTCCATCCCTCCATCCCTTGCCCCCCATTTTACACAAGAGGGAAAGGAGAGAGAGAGAGGGAGAGAGAGAGAGAGAGAGAAGCCACTGCTGGAGAAATGAGACCCGGAAGTGGGGCACTGGGCTCATGTCCTGGTCTCAGACTCCAGCACGCTTTGTTCTTGCCTCCCAGTGTCTCTGTACACAAGTGACAGTTGTGTTCAGTCTCCCCGGAGGGTCAGTGTCCATGGGTGAGGACAGGAAAGAACGCTGGATAGAACTGGAAAGTTTAGAGGAGAGGATCAGGGAATGATGCCACCCATGAGGACAAGATATTAGAGTAATAGTACAGCAGGCAGAGCACTTGCCTGTCACACAGTTGACTTTGGTTCAATCCCCAGCTCTGCTTATGGTCTCCTGAGCCCTGGCAGGAGTGATCTCTGAGCACAGAGCTAGGAGTCAGTCCTGACCACTGCCAATGGCCCAAAAACAAGAAAGCAAAAAAAAAAAATGTGTCTAGGAAGATCCTTCTATGCCTCTCTGAGTCCTCTCATGCCATCTGGGTCCATCATCTAGCTTGGTCCTTGTTTGTCTTTCTCTCCTGCCCTCTATTTCATTTCGTTTTTAATTGAATCACAGTGAGATACACAGTTTCCACAGTTACAAAGTTGTTCATGATTGAGTTTCAGTAATATAATGTCCCTAGAGCACCCCCTCTCCCGCACCTCACTTTGGGCATGATGGTTTGCAATACTGAAATACTGAAAGATTATCATGTATATGCCTTTGCTACTTTCAACACTCAGATCTGGTCCAGAGTGATCATTTCCAACTATTATTGTCATACATGATCCCTTCTCTATCCTAACTGACTTTTGCTCTGCACACACTTTGCAAGCTTCCAACCTTTGACCTGACCTGTCTTTCTAAACATTCCTAACACAAGGACAACTAAATAATAATTTCACACAGGCTGGACAAAAAGCAACCAAGAGCATTTTGGGTCAAACCAGTATCAAAGTCCTGGAGTGCAGAGGTAGTGTGGCAGAGAGGAGACACTCTCCCAATCTGTATTCGAGACTGGTAGAAGCCAGAGGGACTGTGGCCCCAGCCTGAATCTCTCCTCTACCTGCAGGAGCAAAATAACCCCAAAACTGAGTTCTACATGAAGAACTTGGTGCTGACCACCTTGAACCTCTTCTTCGCGGGCACTGAGACAGTCAGCACCACCATGCGCTATGGCTTCCTGCTGCTCATGAAGCACCCCGATGTGGAGGGTAAGGTTGAAGAAGGCCAGGAAAGGGGCCCCCACAGACTCTCAAAACCCGCCTGACCCCAAGGGCCTCAGAGACCCTGAAGATAGCCAGGAGAGACACCAGCCAAGTTACAGCCGTTGTTCAAAGAGGCTGTGTCTGAACTGATTGATAAATAGCTACTGTGCTGAGCCAACCTGGGCCTCCCCGCCTGCCCTTCCCTGTAACCTGCCTCCTTGCAGCCTCTGATTCTGGCATGACCTGATAAATCAGGGCCCTGAGCCAACAATGCACGTGGCCTACATCTGGCCATGGACATGGTCACTGGCCCCATCACACACGGCTATCATGCATATCACCTACCAGCTCTACCTTCCATTAACCAGACACATTGTCCCCTCTCCCTAGCCAAGATTCATGAGGAGATCGACCGGGTGATTGGCAAGAACCGCCAGCCCAAGTTTGAGGATCGGGCCAAAATGCCCTATGTGGAGGCCGTGATCCACGAGATCCAGAGATTTGGAGATATGATCCCCATGGGCCTGGCCCGCCGAGTCACCAAGGACACCAAGTTCCGCGACTTTTTCCTCCCCAAGGTGCTGTCTGACCCCAGGCTGTGGGACCTCCATACCTGCTCTCTGTGCCCCTGCAGCTCCCCCTCCCTTAGGCAAAATCATTCTCCAGCTTTTGTCTCCTAATCAGAGATGGCCCCTGCTATTCCTTCCCTCAGCCATCCCATTAGGGATACCCAAACCCTGTATCCCCCCCAGACCCCTGACCTCAGGAAACAGGAACCGCCAAGTTCCCTGAGCCTTCTGTCTCCAAAGAGAGACTCCCATGGACCCCAAACTTCCTGTCTTGGGGAAATTGCTCAAATGTTCACTAAAGCTCCTCCCTCAAAGAACCCCCAACACTAGGTGCTTTCAGCACAATGGACCCCCACTCTGAAGTTTTACCTAGCCCCCTCCTCAGGGGCAGGAGAGAGAGCAAAGGGCCAAAGCACTAGACCAGCAAGAAGAGCATTTGCCTTGCATATGAGCAGCCCAGGTTTTTTTTTTAATTTTTTTTTTTTTATTAGTGAAGCACCATGAGGTACAGTTGTAGATTTACAAATCTTTGTGCTTGGGTTTCGGTCATACAATGATCAAATACCCATCCCTCCACCAGTGCCCATTTTCCACCACCATGGATAATATCCCCCCCACCCCCTCTCCCACCCTGCCTCTGTGGCAGGGCATTCCCTTTTGTTCTCTCTCTCCTTTTGGGTGTTGTGGTCTGCAAAAGAGGCATTGAATGGCAAACATGTTCAGTCCATAGTCTACTTTCAACATGCATTTCCCTTCCTGGGAGGATCCTCCAAACACCCTTTATTTGGTGCTCCCTTCTCTAGCTGAACTGCCCTTTCCCCTAGAATACCCGGCTGGCCTCTAAGCTATGGAGTAATCCTCCTGGTGTTGATCTCAGCTATTCTTGGGTATTAATCTCATATTTTGTTGCTTTATATCCCCCAGATGAATGCAATCTTTCTATGTCTATCCCTCTCTTTCTGACTCATTTCACTTAGCATGACACTTTCCATATTGTACCACTTGTATGTAAATTTCATGACTTCATCTTTTCTAAGAGCTACATAGTACTCCATTGTGTAGATGTACCAAAGTTTCTTTAACCAGTCATCTGTTCTTGGGCACTCAGGTTTCTTCCAGTTTCTGGCTATTGTAAAGAGTGCTGCAATGAACAAACAAGTGCAGATGTCACTTCGACTACACATTTTTGCCTCTCTGGGGTATATTCCCAGGAGTGGTATCGCTGGGTCAAATGGGAGCTCAATTTCTAATTTTTTGAGAAACGTCCATACTATTTTCCAAAAGGGCTGAACTAGTCGGCATTCCCACCAACAGTGTAGGAGTGTCCCTTTCTCGCCACATCCGCGCCAGCATCGATTGCTTTTGTTCTTTTGAATGTGAGCCAGTCTCTGAGGTGTGAGATGGTATCTCATTGTGGTTTTGATCGCATCTCCCTGATGATTAATGATGTAGAGCATTTTCTCATGTGCTTTTTTGCCATTCGGATTTCTTCTTTGAGAAAGTTTCTGTTCATTTCATTGCCCCATTTTTTGATGGGGTTGGATGTTTTCTTCCTGTGGAGTTCAACCAGTACTTTGTATATCCTTGATATCAACCCCAGCAGCCCAGGTTTAACTCCTGGCATCCTGTATGGTTCCTCAAGCATCTCAAGAAATAACTCCTGAGCATCATGAACTGTGATCTGAAAACAAACAAAACTGGCACTTGTCTTGCATGTAACAACCTTTGTTAGCTCCCCAGCACTGCAGGACCAAAACTAAAACAAGTGCTCTTTCCCTGTCCCTTCAGGGTACCGAAGTCTTCCCTATGCTGGGCTCCGTGCTGAGGGACCCCAAGTTCTTCGCCAGACCGCGAGATTTCTATCCCCAGCACTTCCTGGATGAGAAAGGCCAGTTTAAGAAGAATGATGCCTTTGTGCCCTTCTCCATTGGTAAGAAAACCCTGTCTGCCTCCTGGTCACCTTCCACCACCAACGGGACTGCCTTCATCCCCACTCCCCTCCTTAGCCTAAAATCTCTCTCCAACCCAGAGACCACAGCTCGCAGTCCTCATTAACCCTCTGACACAAAAAGGGAGGAGTGTGCCACTTAGGAGATGAGTGTGAGATTTGTCCAAGGCCACTGAAATCCTCCAGACCCCTAGGAAGAAGGCGGCAGTGCATCCCACCTATTTGGACGTGGTTGTGACTTTCCCACGGCCTCCATGGCCATATTCCCATCTCAGCCTCAGCAGGAACTAAAGGCTGAAAGCCCTGGGGCCCAGCTATTCCGATCCAGCACCCTGGCGAAAGTGGGGGGCATGTGGGCCTCTCCCCAACCACTTCTGCTTCCCCTCCTTAGGAAAGCGCTACTGTTTCGGAGAAGGCCTGGCTAGGATGGAGCTCTTCCTCTTCCTCACCACCATCATGCAGAACTTCCGCTTCAAGTCCCCACAGGCCCCCCAAGACATCGACGTGTCCCCCAAAAACGTGGGCTTCGCCACCATCCCACCAACCTACACCATGAGCTTCCAGCCCCGTTGAGCAGGGGTTGGGCCTGGGAGGGGATGGGATAGTGGTTGTTGGGGGCTGGAAGGGGAGGAACAAGCTCTTGGGCGGGGCAAGGGGTGAGGATATTTGAATTTGTATATGGGATGAGGATAGTAGGAGCTTTAGGAGGCAAGAGAAAGCACTGGGGACTTGCAGAAAGGAAGTAGGAACAGATTTTTCACCTTGTTAGAGAGGGTGCTGGGAGTTGGGAAGAGAAGCAGGGGAGGGAGCCTTATGGACTTGCTTTAAAAAAATAACTGCAATGCCAGATATGAATTACTAACCCTGAACTCGGTGTCGTTAGCCACATGCTAAAACATTACACAGTTTTATTGCTCACAAAACTTGAAGATGCGAAGTGTTCTTACGTATATGCATTTCACTGGTGGCACAGCTTGGGGCTCAGAGCACCCTGAGTCTATAGGTAAGGTCCCACTCCATACAAGCAAGATTTGGGCAAGGACTCTCATGCAAAAGGAAGCTCAATCCTGCAGATGGTTTATAGAACTCCTCTCCCTCAAGTGAAAACGAATTTAGTGTATTGTTGAGGAATGCAAGTAGCTCTGTCCAGGGCATTTTTGTGCTCACCTGCCTTCACTACAATGCTTTCACACACCACCACCATTACCAAGTACAGCTGCAGGATCAGGAATGGGAATCAGACTGACAGTGAAGAACAGAAACACTTTCTGGCTCCCAGCGCAGCTGAGACCTTCTGTGTGTGCATGTATATGTGCATGTTTGGATGTGTTTGTGTGTGTGTATACGTGTGCACACTCATTCACAGAGGCAAGTGACCTACTTCTCCTTAATAGATGCACAAACTCAGTTTTCTGTGGGTTTCTGCAGGGCGGGCTCTCTCTGATGCATCTGGGTTCTGCTCTCACAGACTGAGAACCACCTGCTTACTCTCAAGTCAGTGATTACATGTTCGCTTGGAACTGAAGATATGTCACAGTGGGTAGTGAGTTTGCTAGCTGGGGTTGATCCCAGGCATCCTATATGGTCCCCCCGGACATCACCAGGAGCAATTTCTGAGTGTAGAGCCAGAAATAACCCCTGAACATCTCTGAATGCGATCCAAAAATTTAGGGAGAAAAAAAGTGACGGCCTTCAAGAGTGTGAATGTTAAACAGGAAAGAACACTTCTCCCCCTTAGAGCACTGTGCTTCTCAGCGAAGTGCTCCATAAACCCGGCCTCAAAGTTTCCAAAACGCCACAAGATTTAAATAAAGTGGCGAGGGTTGGGGGGGTTCAGAGGTGGGGTGAGAACTAAGGTAAAAGGTAAAAGGTAAAGGCCCTCCCATTGTTCATCGATTTGCTTGAGCGGGCCCAGTAACGTCTCCATTGGAGATTTTGTTGTTACTGTGTTTGGCATATCGAATACATCACGGGTGGCTTGCCAGGCTCTGCCGCGCGTGGGCGAGATACTCTCGGTAGCTTGCTGTGCTCTCCGAGAGGGGCAGAGCAATCGAACTCGGGTCAGCCATGTTGGCTGCATGCAAGACAAACACCCTACCGCTGTGCTATCGCTCCAGCCCTAGGGGTGAGAACTAGTCCTCCAGAACCTTTAGGGTTCTTACTTCCACGATTTTTAAGTATGTTCCTTTCCTCTACTGTATGTTTTTGCATCTGGGATTTCATGAATGGATGAGTTCTTGCTTAATGGAGAGGGAGGAGGATAATTTATCAAATCACGTCCTGTAGCACACAATTTAACACCCAAGTTGAAATTCGAACTCATTCCTGAGTGTGCATATGCCTTTAAAATGTTCTAGGACACCAGAGACAGTGCAGCAGGTAAGATACTTACCTTGTGCGCCATATCCAGGTTGGATCCCTGACACCATATATGGTTCTCCGGCTTCACCAGGATGATGCCTGAGAACAGAGCCAGGAGTAAGTCCTTAGAACTGCAAGGTTTGTCTCCCCCAAAACAGAAAAAGAAAAGAGACTTCTAACAGGCTCTTGTGCTTGTTTTGTATGCAGAAACCCTGGGTTTGATCAATGCAACTTTCAGATGCCCAGAACCTTAGATTTAGAGTATTGGAGCGTGTTGGTATTAGTATCTAAGTATTGATACTTATGAGTATTAGAAACAGAGGGGCAGAGAGATTATACAACAGAGCATTTGCCTTGCAGGCTGACTAAGTTGGGTTTGATTCCCAGCACCCCATATGGTCCTCCCAGGCCTCCCAGGAGTGACTGACCCCTGAGGGCAGAGCCAGGATTAAGCCCTGAACACCACTGGATATAGCTTTTAAAAAAAAAGTATTCAAAACACTAGGGCTGATGCAATAGTATAGCAGGTAGGGCTCTACCGACGCAGGAAACACCGGTGCCAGAATCTTTCTTGATGCTCAGAATTTGATCACGATGGGCTCCCCCACTCCCTGCCAGAGCATATTGAGTTCTCCCAGCTAACACTTCTGAGAAAGAGTCAAGAGAAGAAAGGAGGGGCTCAAGCTAGTGGGGGTCAGCAATGAGACGCCTCTTAGGGCCATGAACATAGTTAACTTGCTGGTCTTTGACCCACACAGAGGAGGAGACAAATATTAATCTCAGTAATCCTCAAACTGACGCTTGGAAAAGACAAAGCAGCAGAGCTCCAGCAAGGCATTCTGAACTGCGCAAAGAGAGAGGGCGAGTTTTAGCCACCAAAAGCTGGATTCTTGTCCAAACAGGCTGCTTTCAGCCTTGGGGCTTGGGGAAGCCAACGACCAAAGCTGCAAGGAGACAGCTCTGGCTACAACATCAAGCTTGGATTCCCATCCTGGCTCTGCTGAGGACCCCTTGGGCCTTTGTGAGTATCCCCAGAGCTGAAGAGCTATAATAAAAGAGTGACTGGGCCAGAGAAATAGGATAGGAGGGAAGGCACTTGCCTTGCACGTGGCTGCTGCCACTGCTACCCTGGTTCAGATTGCCAGCACCATGGGTTGTCTCCTAAACACCATCAGGGGTGACTCTGAGCACAGAGGCAGGAGTATGCCTGGAGCACCTTCACCAATGGCCCAAATTGTCTTTTCTTACTCCCAACCCTTCCTGCCTACACCCTCCCACAACCTTGCCCCCAAAATTCCCCAGTGACTACAGGTATGGGTGACAGAGCAAAGTACTTTCTCTGGTTAGCTTATTTCCACAGCTAAACCAAGAAATTCAAGAGCATGTCAAACACACACATGTACATACAGACATGCTTGTGTACATACGTACACAAAACACACACATCTGCCTTGGCCCAAATAGCTGTAAGTGGCACATGACACATGACAGCTCTGTGCTGAGCCCTTTGCATGCATTTGTTATTACAGCCATACCAACCCCGTGCCATCAGCTAGGCGCCATAAAATGATAGAAAAGCTTTGCTTGGGAGCTGAAGTGATAATACAATGGGGAGCACATTTGTCATGCATGTGGCTGACCCAGATTCAATCCCCAGCATCCCACTTGGTCCTCCGTGCTCTGCCAGGAGTAATTCCTGAGTGCAGATCCAGTAGTAACCCCTGACTCTCCCGCCAAAAAAAAAAGAAAAAAAGAAAAGAAAAGAAAAACATTGTCTAACAGTCCTGAAGACTGTAAGTCCACAAGTCAAGAAATTGTCAGGGAAGGGGGTATGGTGCCGCCAGCAGGTCAATATGTACCTGTGAGATGAGTGCATCAGCAGCCTGATGGCAATGTCAGACTCAGATACCCCAAAATTGCTGCTGTGCCTTTGGCCAGACCCCAAAAACTTGGGGCAAAGTTTACCCAAAGTTTACTTGAGAAAGTAAACAGCCAAGAGTTAGGTATGTGGGTGACACACCCACAAACTACCTCCACTCAGCTATATAATTGGAGGTATGGCCTCTCTGGTTCCTGATTGAACTGCTTAATGGCCATGATCCCTGAGACTCAGAAATGAATCTCAGAACCCAAAGGTTTTTGGCAGAAATGCATCCTGTTCCTGCAGTAGGTTACTGGCGCTGGGCCACTCCAGGTGGGAATAGGTTTCATGCCTTGGCCTGTTCCCCCTGGTGGCCTGGTGACCACCATCCTCCAGAGGCCACAGGACAGTCAGGTTTGGGCCTGCAGTGACGAGACACACGGGGCCTCGCCACATGGGGGTGGAACCGACCCTTTTCTCCCCATCCCAACAAGACCCCGAGTTGCCACCTACAAACGGCCTCTCTGGCTCCTGATCAAGCTGATTAATGGCCATGATCCCGGAGACTAAGAAACAAATCTCGAAACCCAGTGGCTTTTGGTAGAAATGCATCTGGACCGCATACAAGGTGGCCGCTGGCTCAGAGCTTATTGGAAAGCCAGGTATGGGCCGGCGGTGACAAGGCAACTGCTGTCTCATGGGAAGGGGTGGCAGTACTGGCTGGTCCTTCACACCCTACGGGGGTCACGAGTTGTCCCCCACAAGCGGCTCTCCAGCATGGCCATGGCTCCAGAGGCAAAAGGACTTAATCCAGAGCCTGGCAGCTTGCGGCAGAAAAGTGAATGGACCATGCGTTAAACTACAGCGCTACTCAGATTGGGGCCGAGCATCCTCCACCCAGATCCTCCAAATTCCAGTAGGCGGGGGTCACACCCACCAACTGGCCCCCTGGCGCCGTGTAATCCCATCAGCGGCCTAGACTCAGAGACTATAAAAACCAGCTCCTGGAAGAGAACAGTGCAGTCTCCTGCCCCCGCGCCTGGCTGTCCTCGCCGGAGCCCCTTCGAGGGGAGTGGGTTGAGCTTTCCTCCCCGCCCCAACCAGGGATCCGGCAGCCGAAGACCTTCAGGACCAGCCACCACCATGCTGAGACCACTGTCCGCACACATGAAGGTACTGGCAGAGGGACAAAGCTATGCGGGTTCCGGGGCCGAGATCTCCAAGCCTACTCGGATTGGGGCCGAGCATCCTCCATCCAGATCCTCCAAATTCCAATAGGCGGGGGTCACACCCACCAACTGGCCCCCTGGCACCATGTAATCCCATCAGCGGCCTAGAGTCAGAGACTATAAAAACCAGCTCCTGGAACCGCGTGGCCGCGCGACATCTTATTATCTCATTCCTACTTTGGACAAACTTGCAGGCTACCAAATGTAGCCTTCCCACACGGCCGTGCGACATCCTATTATCTCATTCCTACTTTGGACAAACTGGCAGGCTACCAAATGTAGCCTGCCCACACAGCAGAGTCTGGCAAACTCCCCATGACGTACCCAATATGCCAAATACCAGTAACAATGATGGGTCTCATTCTCCTAAAGAGCCTTGAATATAATCTCTGGGCTAGGATGAAAGAGACGTTACTGGGGCCTGCTCGAGGCAATCAACGAATAACAGGATGATTTGTGATTTGTTGTTTGTGATGCCTCCCCGGGAGGGAAAG